TCAAAAAGGAAATGGTACAATTAACACTAATAAAAAAAGGAGCACCAAGGAGTGGATACCAGTAAAAAAGTGTTTAAATTCTTTTAAGTTTTTTTAATTAACTTCCCGTAGGGTAGTTATAGTAATGGGCAGAAAATCAAAAATGATAATTTTTGCATATCTTACCTTCGTATTGAAGGTTTCTGAACATTTTGTGTGTGTGTGTGTGTTGTTGTTTTCGTCCACGTTTTCGGGCGCACGGAATTGAATTATTCAAACAACATTCAGTTCGTATTGACGGGGAGACGTGCTGATAAGTATTTGGCAAAAGTTGGCTGAGCCATTTTGGAGGTACTGTGTTTTTGGAACCATTCAAATCGGTTAATAATTGCGCCCGAAAACGTAGACGAAAATTTGCGGACACACAAAACGCACACGCACGCATATCCATTTTTTCTGAGGTATGCCAAAATTTTCAGAATCCTTTAAAACGTGAAGATATACAAACATTTTCAATTTCGATTTTAGGACGATTACAATAATTTACCATACGGGAAGTTAACGATAAAAATACAATAATTTATTAAACTATCAGTTTTAAAATAAGGCAATAATAAACAATTGAAAGTTTTACATATCCACTTCAATCTTCTTATTTTTTTTAATATTAATAATTTTAATACAAAGAATTTTTGAATTGTTTTGTGAATAGTGGCATACAATTTGATGACAATCAAAAAAATATTTTTTCACAAGGCAGCAATTAATACTTATTAGGTAAATCTTATAAAATAAAGTGTTGGAAATTCACTTTCATAATTTCTTACTGTTGAAAATCAGTTGACTCGTGAATAGCTGTAAATTAACTAATATTTAAATACTACTATAATGAGAGGCATAACTAACCAATCTATATACATTATTGCTATGGCTGTTTACTACCATTACGAACAACTGCTAGAGTAGAGACCCTTAAAGAATCTTTCAACTGTTACCCCTGAAGGTCTATGTTCGACGACTTGCTCTTTTAAAAGAGTAAGAATCCCCTGAATCGGGGATGGGACATATTTATACAGGTGTGCGGTTGCTTACCAACACATTTGTAAAAATATCTCTAGCTAGACGCTGTTAGATAAAATATTTTTTTATCTTGATGCATAACATTAAGATAAAAAATCATTTTTTTCTTAAAATCGTTTATATAACACTAACGTTAACTATATATATGGATAATTATCACCATTCATTTATCTATGGTTATCACAATCAGATAAAAAAGCACGATATTTATCGTTATCTACGATTAAAATTGCATGCGGTACTACTCACCTAATTTGCGATTTTTATAAAATATGCACTCATTTATGGAAACTATTACAGTGGATTGTAATCATTGCTGTATCAGGCATTATACTATCAAATATGTAGTATGCTCTGAGGTACTGATCTTTGCGATCACGAAAATTCATCAAAATCGTCATTATTTTCAGCTTTTTTTTACTTTAATTACGTAGAAACGATCTGGCCAATATTTACCAAAAACTATCTTCTTACCTATTCTTAACCGATCTATTTAGAACAGTTTTTGAATTATTAAAATCGGTTCAGGATTTTAGGATAAACTTGAACGAAAATTTTAGTATCTTCAGATGAACCGACGACGACATATTTTTAATAATTTCATTCTTTTTCAAGAAAACGTTTGCAAAAAGTAAAATTTTGCTTCACGTACACACGCACCTACTTCTTCCGAATTTCGCCTCAAACGATTTATAATAAACTTAAAACATATTATTATATACCGTTTATGATTTTAAATTGTTCAATTGTTTGTAAGAAATTTGGAAAAATTATTGATTAAGTAATAAATTTTGGGCAATGTTATTCCTTATTGTTTGAGAAATTTTTCTCTTTGTGAGGGTCACCAAACAAATTTTCGGAGCCGGTTGTATAACGAAAAATATCTATATTGATAAGTAACCAGTGATTCAGTTTACGGCCGTAAATTCCCTGAAGAATCACAGTGCGATTTGGTATTTCAGAAGTTTGAAAAACTCACTTGAAATAAATATTTTCTTCTTTCTACATTAAGTTATTACCATAGATAGAAAGAAGATATCTTCTAAATTCAAACTAAAAATCTAAATTTCGAAATTTTTTATCTTTCAGTATGGTAATTAACCTTTCGTAGAGAAAGTTATATATACTTAGTAATCGCAAAAAAATCGGAAATAATTTTTTGCATATCTTTAATTTTCAGCAGTTTCTGAACATTTTGGCATACTTGCCAGAAATGAATGCCTGTATGTGTATGTATGTAAGTGCAAATACAATTTTCCGCCGATTGTTAAATTTTTTTTTTTTGCAAAGGCAAGTTCAGTCGTTTCAAAGATACAAGGCAAAAAGTACCAAAAATCGCAATTCAATTTTTGAGAGAACGGAGCGTTCAATTTGAATGATTTAAAAACATTTTATTCGTATAGACGAAATGAAGAACTGATGAGGGTAGATCCAATTAAAAAGTACAAAAAAATGCCATTTGGCGGTCAAAAATCATAATTAGATATATGCACTTGAAATTATCAGATATTTCATCGAGATTTTGATAAGGGTACGCAGTGCAATTGCTTTGAAAAAATGTTCAAAATTTTGAAATATTAAAGCAAGATCAAATTTTTCATAAATGTCAAATTTTTTCAAAGAATTCAAAATTCTCAAACGTTATTTTTCTCAATATTAATTTTCTTTAATATTTTCTCAAATGATAAAGCTTTTTTAAAAAAATTAATTTTCGGAACGAGAAGCTCCAATAATTTGCTTAAGGCACCATGCCCCATTCACAACAAGTTGACTTTTTGATTTGGTTTAAGTCGACAAAACATAATTGCTAATAAAATGTTTAAATAAATTAAAAAAAATATCAACACCAAGCACTAACCTTTTATCTTGCACAAATTTCAAACGCACATGTACTGTTTTTGATTGCTTGGAGGGATTTTATTTATATAGGTACCAAATGATATGGATTTGGTATCTAATGATAATAGTTATTATCTACTTATATCAATTTCGATTTTGAAAATCAAAACGAGAAATATAGGTATTTTCCCTTCTTACTTGTTCGGATATATAGGTATTTTTCCTTTTACTTGTTCGGATAATCAATATATATATTGAACACTTATATTATTTATTATAAAACAAGTAAATATTACATAGAACTAGAAATATCACCATATAAATAAATTTACGTACGCGCACATACAGTATATTAATAAATGAATTTCAAAAAGGGGATTTCCGTGTTGATATACTTACGCGCGGTATATTAATGTGGGAATCCCGTAATAACAAGCGCGCGTAAATGCTGTCAAATTCGAAAATTCTCCAGAAAATTGTTCTTTGAAAATTTGCAATTTTTAACTTCTCGAAGGAGAAGTTTGTTTTTAATTTTATGTTTTCTCGACGTTTCAAGCCATTCTGAATCGAATGAGACCAAATTTGGAAAAGAAGACCGATTTCAGAAATTTAAAAGCCATTTGATGTATCTCAATGAGGACTATCGTTTGTCAGTTTTTGTGCGACGATCTGCCAAGCCGTTTCTTTGTAATTGGGAAAAAAGTGTTGAACTTTTCGTCCACATTTAAGCTCATACTACCGAATCGTTTTAAAAAATCAAAAACTGTTCGAAAGATATTATTATTAGTTGGGAATGATACTGATTAGTTTTAGGTGAAAGTCTACCGAGCCGTTATCTTGTAATTACTTAACTGTTGAAAACAAAATTTAAGCCGATTTTTATGGAACTTTGTTTGGCGATATATATCATAGAACTTACTGAAACATTGCGGCCTTACGGTAAGTAGTTTAATTTTAAAAATTAAAATTAGACTATTTACTTGGTATAACGATCGTTATACCAAGTAAATAGTCTAATTTTAAATTACAAATTACAAATCGCGATACAATACTTGGTCTTAATGAACATACTAAACCATTGAAGTCCTACGGAAACTGGTTTAATTATAAAAATTGTTGAATTTTGAAAATTATATGAAATTAATCCATTGGAATACTTTTAATCACTCATAATTACTTGCCTCAAGGCAAAATACTAATACCAACTAGTTTTATTTACATTGCTGTTTCCATATTATTACTTCCAATTAAGTGATTGAGCACAAATTGTCAATAAAAACAAAACTTTGTTGAAAATTTTTAAATGTATGGTATGGTTTGTTTGCACTTTTTCCAAATCCAAATTTTCCAATCACATTGTTGAATGAAAATTATGCAAAAAATAAACTTTTGTTAGAATTTAGCATATTTTTTATTTGATTGTATAATTATGTTTAAAAACGAAAATTTCCTAATTATGTCGTTGAGTGGAAAAAAACAACATATATATATATGTTGCAAATTTTTGTCTGCATAAACCATGTTTAAATTCGAGCATTTCCCAATTATATGGGAATTAAACAAACTGACTTTTCTTGCTGTTTGTCTAAATTGGTTTGTACAAATGCTGCCAGTACAAATGATACAAAATCATTATTAAACCAATTTAGACAAACAGCAAGAAAAGTCATTATGTTTAATTCCCATGTAATTGGAAAATTAATTAAATATAAATCCATATACTTGAGTGTTCTATAACGCTCTACGACATCATTGTTTCAAAATCACAGCAAAAGTAAAAGTGATGTGATATGTAAATATTTGCTTCAATAGAATTCAATTGTGATAATTACACTGTTATTCGATAAAAGTCTGTAATATAATAATATAATATAATAACTACAAATAAACATTTCTCAATTTAAGTATTTGCAAATTTGATCTTTATTTATAAAAATGAATAATTCTAATTAAAATATATATTTAACAACTATTTATAATATCATAAAATTATTAATAATATTCAGTCAATTCTTCCATATGAAATATTTCATGTTAACATCATACGCATTTCTGTAGTAATAAAATTAGTAACAACCCTTAATAACTGCTGTTTAACAACATCATTGTTCATAATGAAAGGTAAAAGGACAGCAGCGTCTTGGATGTCCACATCTTGGACAGCTCTTCGAAGACGTGTTATTAACAATTCTTGCTGCTGTGTTTGTTAAATCATTCATAAGAACCTCAGCCACTGATTTAAACTGACCTGAAAAAAAAAAATCTCATGGTGAAATACATGCAAAACATAAAATAAAATTGCGATAATAAATAATCGGGAGTAACATAGAAAAACATGAACAGTTTTAAAAATTAATTCAGTGGACCAAATTAAAATTAAATTAGTGGTGTATGGCATCGTGCCTTGAGGCAATTTGCGGGAACTTCCCTTACCAAATTAAATATTTGAAAATCCGAATTATTTTCGATATTCAAAAAAATGTTTTTTTTGGAAATTATTTTTTTTTCCTTTTCCTTCCTTTTTGCACATTTAGCTCCGTATCTCCGAAATTGCTGGACCTGTCTTTATCAAAAACCAAACACCACTTCTCCACATCATTAAGAATTGAATGTTTTTTGGATCATTCATATCAAATGCTCCCTTCTTTTAAAAACTCGATTTCTATTTTCTGCACTCTTTGCTCTGCATCTCCGTAACGGCTGGACCTGCCTTTGCCAAAAACTAATCAGGATATCTCCCTATCAATAGGAATCGAATGTTTTTTTAACCTTTCAAATCGGTTGATATGTGCGTCTGAAAACGTGGATGAAAAATTGTATCCATACATATGTACATACATCCACACACACACATCCATTTTTTTAAGGTATGCCAAAATATTCAGAAACCTTCAAAACGTGAAGATATGCAAACATTTTCAATTTCGATTTTGGATGATTGCAGTAACTTACCCTAGGGGAAGTTACCTATTGTTGCATGGCATTGTGGCTTAAAGCAAATTGCTTGAATTTACCGTACTGTAATGAAATGTTCAAGGAATATTTAATGCTTTCAAATAGATTATTATAAATAAATAAATAAAAAATAATATATGCTAAATATATTAGCATATATTACTATACATTATGTGGTTTAAGCCAATATGAGTAGAATCACGTAATTTTTTTTTCGATATCTTTTATGGTTACGCCAAAAATTGAGTTTGAAAAAGGGGCCACTTTGGCATATTTTCAATGATATCTCGGCCATAAGGTGAGATACAAAGTTGAAGTTTGGTATAACGGATGTTTTCAAATGACCTTTAAAATGGCGTATAAATTATTCAAATACAAGGGTATTAGTCAATTATGTATGGCAATGCGCCCACACCTTGCGCGTCATGACTATTATGTACTCTTCTGGCAGACCCTTGCAACCGTCAGAATGGGCTGGCTTTTTACATATGCTTTCTGAACAGTTAAAAGAAGACACCCTCAAAATTTGAGCCTTGTGCGAGCAAGTTATAAAAAATTTTTTTTTTACATTTTCACAAATTGAAGGGATGATGACGCAACCGCGGAATGACTGCCAGAATGGTATTTTCTTAATGGGCCGATAATAAAATATCATTAAAAAAATTTCTGGCTTTGTGAAAACAGGTTAGTCAAATAGTTCACTGGCTCTTAGACTATTACAGCTAGTTTATATTTAGATATTGAAAATTTAAATATTCATTTCCATAATCTGTAATATAACATATATTTACTAAAATTGATACTAAATAGTCCATGTCAACTATTGTGATGACACCAGATAGATTAAAAAAGATGATAGATAAATAGAAGTTTGTTGATGCTGCCGAACTCTATTAAATTAGTACATTTCGCTTTATTGTCACAGGACCAGATATAATTAGATAATGGCTATATCAGACCGATTGAATTAACAATACTTAGATAAAATAATACGTGATATAAAGTTGAGTTAATCTTACTTGTTTGAATGTTAATTTTAGACTTGCTACTTATTGTTAGATGAAGTTTGAGATATTACTGATTTACAGGTTTTCTATATCTTTATATTATTTTCTGATTGGTCCGTTTTGTGAATTTAAGCGACATTCCATTACATTTTTTACATCATCAGTTGACCTGCAATTTGATTGAAATGAGTTCAAGGAAGAATAGTTTCTCGGAAGAAAGGATTAATATTTAAGGGTTTGCAAGGTACATGATATATTACAATGAAGGATTAGGTTTTATAATTTTTATCCTTTTACAAAGCATTAAAATATATTTGATTGATTTAAAACAGGGTTGAGCCTTAGGCATTAACAATTATGAATTATTCAATATCCAAATGTAAATAATCCTGCAAACCCATTGAGTGAAGTGTTATATTGAGAAGGTACAATTTGAGAAACAGTATCCAAAGCATAAGAAAAATATTTATTTTATGGCACACTATATGCACTGCTGTGTCGTATCGTGAATGAAAAGTGTGGTACATTGCATCACCCATCAAGACTGTAACAGTTAACTATAAGTTGCTTTTAGTAATTAGAAATTCTATAATAAAGTTACCTCTTGATTTAAGAGCTCCAGCACAGCCACCAATTATACCTCCCAAAGCTAAACCAGTTGGACCCAACAATAATCCTCCACCAAAAACAGCGGCTCCTGTGATTAAGCCCCATTTTCCGGATTGTCTAATAGTGACTCGCATGCTTTGCAATTCGCTAATTTGAGAAACAGCTTGTAAAAGTTCGCGTTGATTAATAGGCATTTTTAAGTGCTTCTTCACAAAAACTTGCTATTGCCAAAAACTACGTAAATATTGATATTCACAAATTCATAAGATGATTTTTTTTAAATGCGTGAGGCTGATGGCGTCAGCTCAAAATTAAAATTGAAATAATCAGTGACCAACAATTTTCCATAAAATTAAATAATCAAAAATATTGGATAACCTATAGATGTGTTGATAAAAATAAATAGTGATGTCAAATTGACAACCTTTAGCATTGCTCTGAAGTGCACACTAATCGCAGCGCGGTAAATTTGAAAAAAGTCACTGTGTTTTATGATCATACTTGTGATTACTTTGAGTTTAATTGTTTTAATGTTCGATTGATATATACAACGTTTATTATCCTTTGATTTATAATTGTAGTCAATAAATAGTTTTCCTAGACAATGATAGAATATATATTAATATATCATAAATTTATGATTGTTCTCCTAAAGTAATGGAAATGGGGTTTTATACTTTTTTATGGAGTCCAGGTTATGCACATTGATTTACAGATTATATTGAGCGTAAATTTTTTTTGGATTTTATACATCCAAAAAACCTATCCATATTTTTTCTATTTATAGAAATATCAAATGATTAATTATTTCATTAGAGTCCATCAATTCAATCAATTATTTAATGATCAATCAATTATTCAATTTAATAATTTGATAAAGTAATTTTTTATTTAATATTTGAATTTTTCAACTTGGTAATTTTTGTTTTTAAAATAACTTTATGTGAATAAAATATCTTAAATTATATATCTAATACATCTTATGTATATAATATAAATCTTCAGTTCTAAGCAATTCAAACAAAGCAGAATCTATAATCTACTTATAATTTTATACAAAATATTCTTAAGCACAATTTATTGCATTAAAAGAATTATGCAAATGAGAAACATCCTTTACAAATTTAACATAAAAACATGTTTACTACTTTACACTCAACTTTTATCTTAGTAAACAATAAGTTTTTACTGAAACTTCATCAAAAGTTTGCATATGCCTTTTTATTGTTGCTTTGCAGTTGAAATAGTTGAGCAAGCGAATTATAATAGTAATGTATTGTTTGAATAAATAATAAGGGGTAGTACAGCCCTAAGGCAGGACCGTGAGCTGAGGTAAACTCCAACTTGATTAGATTTTGTTTGAGTAACCAGGTTAAATTGTAATTATAGTTCATATCTTTTATATAAACATTTCGAAATGCTGCTAATATATAACCCTCGGACATTAAAAAATTATATAATTATGTTATAAAATATGTAATGTTTCAAAAGGTGGAATAATCCTCTTACATTTTAATATATAGGATAAAACCACGTTATGTAGTTTTAAACATATTTGTTTCTTCATTATAAAAAAATAATTAATCTACCATAATTTGACATTGTTATGATATGATAAAATACGCTAACAATAAGATAATTACATATCACAGGAGTTTGTGTTAAATTTCAAAGTGCATATTTATTTATTATTCATATAAAAGTTTCTATATATATAACAATTTAACAACATCAATAAAATAAATAATTGAAAACAACATATAAATAATTTCAAAAATCATGTAATATATTATTATAATGAACACATCAAATGCATGTTACTGCAGTTCAATCTTGTTGCCACTGAAAAATAAAAAAAAAAGATAAAATATTGCTATGATTATAGAAATAAGGCAGAAAATTCTGTACTAACTCGTAAAAGATCTCCACCGCCTCCTTGTCTATCTATTTCATTCTGACGTCTTTCTAACTCGGCTGCTTTCTGCTGTTGCCTCCGAACTTTATCAATATCTTTAATTCCACGAGATTCATTTTCTATTCGCCTTTTCTCTGCAGCTTCTGCCATTTGGGCCCTTCGGATAGCCTTTGAATAATACGAACTGTCAATATTTCATGAATATAGTAAAAAAAATTTAATTAGAGTAATTATTTAATTATATATTTATTTTATAACACAGCCCGTAAAATAGTTCCAAGAGGTTTTAAAAATACAATTATAATACATACAACATAGTATAATACATAATGTAAAAATTTCATAAACAGACAGAATATGAAATAAATAATTAAATAAAACATATTGAAAAAAGTAATGAAGTTTAGTAAATTAAGATTAAGTAAGTTGAGTAGTGAAAAAATATTTGACATTGTGAAGTATTGTGAATATCAATATCTTTATTAATTGAGTTAAAGTTTTTTGAGTTAAAGATTCAGGACATTGGTATAATAGGTGAATTTAATAGAGAATTAGATTTAGGAATAGGATAATTAAAAAATATTTGTGTTCGTGAAGATAATCTAGGAATGTTAAAAGATAGTTGGTTAGATATTAAAGATGGGTGAGATTAGTCTCTTTAGCATTATTAAAAAATTTATATAGGAACAAAATATTATAGATAAAAGGACTTGTGGCAAAAGATGATATGCTAAATTTATTAAGCATTGTTTTGTGTTCAAATGCACGTTCAGGATAAATTTAGTGCATTTTAAAATGAAGATAATTTAAAAAATTTATATGTTGAACCTTCTCTATCTCGCATCAGAGTTATTCTATAATGAAGATATCAAAAATTGATCCATACTCAAACTTAGACCGCATATTTGCATAGTACAATAGAACCTGATTATCCGGACCTCAGTTATACGGATTCGCGATTATTCAGACTACCAACCGCGACTAATTTATATGCATGTACATACGTACAATTCGAATTTTTGCACAATTAATGCTGTAGTTTAGTATATGTATGTAATATGATCTAAAAAAATATATATGCACATACGTAAGAAAGTTTCAATTTCTAATAAATATTATTTTTGTTGTATTTCTTATTTTTAATAAATACTCAACATTATTCTTCATACATTGGATTATCCGGATGCCTATCGACAACATTTAGTCCGGTTAATCGAGGTTTCACTGTACATACAAATTAGTAACTGATTTAAATTAAAATCTTTACATTCCTTAAAAACATTTCTAACAATTTATGATCTTTATTGCAAATATTAGACATGTGGAATGCAAAGTGCAAACTAGAGTCAAATAAAATGCCGAGGTCAGATATTTTATCATATCTATCTATGCAGGTGTTATAAATTTATAACTAAATGTATTGAAAATGCTTATGTGTAAAACTAAGAATTTTGCATTTTGAGTTATTTAGATCAAGTTTGTTACCACCGGAGTGGAAAGAGTCAAGTTGAAACTTATTGCATAATAGAGATAATCTTATTTATTTTAAAACAACCTTTATGTATTTACAACTACTTTTAAATTCTACAAGTAGATAAACTGATCGTTTTTCATCTCAAAATTAATTAATTATTATAAACTGTAAATAATATCAGAGGCTGAGATTATTAATGCTCAATTTCAACATTAGTTCTAAACTATTGAGGTATACATATTTCATCATGTTGATTAGTGAGCAAACTAAATATTCTGATAATTAAAGAAACTACAAATTTTTATTCCATACCCATGATCACTATTTGTATAAAAATTATTTGTCTACAAATCTCTGGACAATTACCATATCTGGCTGAGGTATTTCATCTGAAGTAGGATTGAACACGACGAGCACAAACCCATTATAATAAATCCATTAATAAAAGCAAAGCAATACTAAGTTTTAGAAATATTTCTCTAAAAATACAAACATAAATGTCATCTGTCAACGACATAATTTTGACAGCAAGAAGATCACGTGTGCTCAAGTTAACACTATAAGAATAATAAAATTTTAGTGTCTTCTTGTTGGCATCCTTGTTTTAGTACAAGTAAATTTTTTATTTTTTGACGGCAGTGGTGGCCACTTTTCGATCAATTCGTATTAGACTTTTTGATAAAAAATGCTGTCTAAAGCTTCGCTTTTGGGTAAATAATTGTTTAATTTGTAATATTTTTTATAATAATACATGTTACATAGTTATTATATTTATATTAATGATGTGCGTGCAGTGAAAATCATGAACACTTTAGACTTTATGTAATCACTTGACAGTTTTCTTCCTTGCAAATTGTATAATAAAGACATGTGTAAAAAGATAAATAGTCCTTCCCAGAAAGTTCTAAGGATTATTTTTTATTTGGTGTATTAATTTTTGATTTCATGCATAAGATGTATATACATTTCTACTGCTTTAAATGTCCAAATTTTGGTTAAAATTTCTTCAATATTTAAATACCATGTTAGATAAGTGCACAATATTTTATTGAAATTACAATCTGTAGCAAAGGTGCTGAGGTCTTAAGTTTCCATTTCACAATTTATTACTATAGCTGTTGTATGATTTTCTCTAGCGCACAATCAAATGTACAGATATCTTTGTTATTGCATTTAATTCATAACAAATAATGAATCAAATCAATTATCATTTATCATAAGTAATGTAAAATGTATACAACTATTTTCTTGTTAATAGCCAAGGTATCCCGGCCACTGACTGTGGCAGTGCGAACAACATCCCAGGCTGCAACATGCCCTGCTCCTACAAAGGTAGAAGAAGCCGATAGTGCTGAAAGAGATTTGGTCAACTTCCCAAGGCCAACACGTTTGGAACATTCACCTAAAGTTCGCTTGGATTCATTCCAGACTCATGGTACGTTTTAGTATAAAAAAAAGGGTACACGTAAGGTTCACACGAGATTGAAGTAAAATTTATTTGCTACTGTACAAGATGGCATTTAAGTAAAAATAAATACATCATAACAATTTTGAATGTTTATTAGTAATATTGTAACACTCGTGATGCACACATTTATTAGTTTCAACCATTATACGCATTTATTAATGATAAATTATAAATTGTATATTTTTAATAGCATTGAAAATATGTATAATATTTAAAAACAATAATGTAATTTAAGTCATACTTCAAATATGACATGATCGGTTTGTCATTGTAATTAGCATTTAGAAATGGACCATCATTAGAAAAATGAAGTAATTGCTGATTAATAAATTCTATAATATTTGTTCAACCAGTGGATTATGTTAAACAATGCCTAAGCAAATATTGTTTTTGCAACTTTGCTCATCATGTAATTG